TACTATATAGTAATACTAGTACTATATATATTATATATATAAATATATATATAGGTATATAGTGTACATTGTCTACGCGAAAGTATTCTATGACAATGTTCTCATTCACTTGACACCGTGACAGTTCTGTGACACTATATTGTGTTCTAGTGTACCAAACCCTGGTTGTGTATGAGATATTCAGAAATATGTGATGGTTTTGGCCAATACAAATTTTGTTCACGAGGATCTTCCCAACTTCGCGCATATCGTTGCGCCAATGCGATAATGTTGTATGTTAAAGCCGAACGAGGAAAAGGGCACACGGATACCCGGGCAGTTATAGAGAAGACGATTACCAACGCAACCGCATTGTAATTAAGGTATTGAAAAGACTTTGTTCCAGTCCTAATGGGTAGGCGGAAAGGAGCATTATCTTATTGTTTCTTAGCAATGCATTGAACCAAGCCCGACATAACGACGCCACACCTATGAAGGTTTGTTCCAGTCCTAATGGGTAGGCGGAAAGGAGCATTATCTTATTGTTTCTTAGCAATGCATTGAACCAAGCCCGACATAACGACGCCACACCTATGAAGGAACTGTTAGCGTTAGTCTATGGGTTGAACCATTTCCGAAAACACCTGGACGGTCAACGGTTTGCGGCGTTCATCGGTGTATATGAGCACACAGTTAAAGCTGAATCCGATGCTCCAAAGGTGACACCACCATCTCTGGCAAAGAGGATGCTCTGCTAGATATGGCGAGTCGGGTGCATAAGGGCACATCTGAAGGTGAAGTGTCTGAGATATTGTACACAGATTACTGGCTAGCAACTACGTCCTAATTACTTCGAACAAGCGCAGACAATGTTTGGTCCGAATAATGTGGATGCATTCGCTACACCGGCTGATACCCAGTTACCACGGTTTTGGACGAAGAGTGCTGCGGGCGGTGCATTTAGCCAAGATTGATCTAGAGTAAATGGTTGGATGAACCCACCCTGAAAGTTGATACACCGGATGCTGCGGAAGATCGAGTCCAACTGCGCGACAGCAACAGTTTGTCTCTCATGGGCTTATCGAGCTCCATGACTTGACTTATTTAAGTCGCTACTACAAGATGAACGTCCCACGAACCCCACACGCGTCCCTTAAATATGCTAAATATGCTTGTGGCAAAAAGCCTTGGGGTCACACTGCAATTGCACGGTTGGCCCGACGAACGGGTACCAGTTGGACGAGTCCATTCAACAACTGCTCGGGTACGCGGAACCACGACAATTACCACACCACCGATGTCTTGACACAGCCGGGAGATTTCAGGACACAGCCCTGACCAGTAGCGAGGCACAACCAACGTTTACGAATGCATCTCTTGAAGAACAACAACAGCGTACACAGTTCACGCAGGCACAGCACGAGCAGGGCCCCACGGCGCGGCCGATACAATTCATCAACTACAACACAATAATGTACATAATTGGCCGGGCGGACTTGAACTGGCGACAGAAGTCCAGCGTGAATATAGTATACGTTTAGAGCAAAACACATTGAGGAAAGCGTTTCACTCTATTTTGATTATCGATTTACGATACCCGTAGTACCACATTCCAATCGACAAAATTCGTATGCCAGTGGTCTCCCAACGGAAGAACAAGTATGTTCTCTATATTCCAGATGTGGTGCCGGGTACTTCATTTTACGGGTCAGACCTGGCAAATTCAATTACGGGCCACACCGGGCAAATTCAATTACGGGCCACACCTGGCAAATTCAATTACGGGCTACACCTGGCAAATTCAAGAAAACACTATTTGCGATCTTTGAGGGACAGGGATTCTCACGGAAGTTGCAATCACACATGGGGACAGAGTTTGTCAACAAGGTCGTCGACGGGGTTGTACAGGAGGTGGGCATCTCACACAGAGTCTCCCAGCAATATCGTCTTCAGGTACTTAGGGCGACAGAGCGCAGGCATAAAAGGATTAAACGGCCAATTCGAATTGGCTGCGAGTCGACACGATGAACAGTTAGTGATCACCATGTTCTACCAGAATTTGCGAGTGGCGCGGCGCCACAAGAGTGTCCAATTCAGCGTGTACTTCGGCCGGCCGTAGACACATCCCGTTTGCGGACTTTACCAATGACTTCCCAGATCAGCTACCCGTGTCTGATGATACGTGGGCCCAACGTATGGATCAGATACATGATACAATCCTGCTAACATTATATAAGATTACGTTGGTTGAATACACGGATAACCTTACCAAGACCTTTGACAGCCTTCAAGCACACGATCTGGCATTTGAAGGTCGAAATGTCGCGATGGTAAAGTCCGAAGGCCGGACGTGTAAAGGAATGCCCCTTTTTTTTGGGTCCATACGCAGTGAAGAGCCGTAATGGCCAGGTGTAAGATCATAACGGGTCTACACCCAAAGCATTTTAGGGTCGCTCTCTCCACGTGCAACTCCTCCGGTTGGTCCATCGCAGCACCGATCCCCAACTAGACTAGAGTCTGTGTCAAGATAGCGGCTCTGTTTTTCGACACATTATTAGACATCGTACCAATGACGACACTGGAAGGACAGAATATCTAGTTCGTTGACGAGAGGGCGAACTGACGTGGAAAAGGGAGGAAGGTTCGACGATGTCAACGATATCGTCGCGTACCACTAAGATTCCCAGACCTATGCTTTTTTTTTAACAAAAAATATAGAAAATTCTTTTAGGTGTTAGTAAAAAAAAGCATATATTTTATCATTTTACTATTTTAGTATCGAGCTTGAATTTGTATTTACTATAATTAAATAGCCACTGAGAAAGGAGCTTAAAGTTTGCCTATTTTAGTACTGGCCAGTGTGTATTGAGCTTGGTGTATCCTGGTATACTCATAATATTCAAAATATCAACGGACTGGCGTCTGAAGAACACGAATTTCAAAATTTTCAGTAATAATTATGATATAGTGATAAAACGTATATATATATATATATATATATATAACAAACCCTAAAAACCCGAAAACCCAATAATATATATATATATATATAATAGTTGGT